CACCGCCAACAAGGTGACAGACATCCAGGCTCTTTATTACTAAACAGAACGAATCTTGTCCTTGCAATGTCACTACGTGTCAGGCTCTCGAGACACCGAGTACGAGCAAAACTACAGTCTCTGAAGGAGAATGTTGAACGAGCACCCAAATTTTCTGCTCTCATAGGATTTTTCATAGGAAAAATGAGCAGAGAAGCCCTGAAACAACATGGTAAAGTAAGTGCAACACAGCTTTAAGGCTACGCCAAATGAAAACTGGATTGCAACACTCCCCGGTCACCACAACTCCAGGTGAGCACGTCACCCTTTGGGAATCCTCTCCCGCGGTTCTGTGCAGCAGCAAAGAGTTAAGTGTGGGAACAAGCTGCCGCTCAGGCGTTGTTCCCCTCTATCCAGCTGGCACTTCCTGAAGAGCCTTCTTCCAAACAGCCACGGGGTCGATGCTTCCTTTCCCCGAGCGTTTCACACAAGTGGGTGTTCCCTGGCACTTTTTCCCCCATTTAGACAACAATTAACTCCCTAGTTTCCCAGCCCAATTCCTGGACTCCGCACTCAGCAGCCTAAGGATAACATTTCAGATATTCTCTGGCCTGAAGCGTTACAAATTGTTCCGCGCGTCGATGGGATTTCTCTCCCATGTGGATTACAGCCAGCAGTAACTGAGCACTGCAGACACCCTATGCAGCTCCCACACGTCCCCGACAGCTCCGCGCACCGGTGAAAGCTGCAGAACAGCTCCACAGAGCATCTCCATGGAAAATACCCCCCCCAGCCTTCTCCCTTTGCCTGGGAGGGGGCTCAGGACGGCTGTTAACAGCCTGCTCCTCCCCCCACAGTCCAGCACAGAGCTGGGAGATCCTGCCACGGCCCTGCCTCCCGCCCAGCAAGGCTGACAGCCCAGGGAGCTGCGACCCCGCCGGCCAGCCGGGATTTTCTATATGGAATGCATTACAGCCCCCCTGATCTCTGCGCAGGGCCAAGCGGCCAGCGGCAGATGCGTTTCTTGTACGTGACTTTCCTGGTGCTTCATTAAACTCCTCCTGAGCACAAACCTCTTCCCGCAGAGCGGGCACTGGAAGAGCCCCTGTCCTGAATGCCGGCGCTGGTGGTTTAGAAGATAATCCTTTCTCCTGTAGCTTTTGTCACACTCGGAGCACTTGTAGGGCCTCTCTCCCGTGTGGGTCATCTGGTGTCTAACAAGCCACGAGTGGCAAACGAAGCTTTTCCCACAGTCGCTGCAAATGTAGGACTTGCCCCGGCCCTGGCTCTGCTGCTGCCTGGCCAGGTGGCCCCTGGGCATGAAGCGCTCGTGGCACCCGGAGCAGGCCTCCGGCTCGTCCCGCGGATGGTCCCAGCAGGAGCCAGCTAACGGGTTTTCTGTGGGGAAGTTCTCCTCGCTTTCCACAGACGGCTGCTCTCCGCCGAGGCCGTCACAGTCACGACGCCTGGTTGCGCTCGCGGGATTCTGTCCGCGCTCGCTGCGGGCTGTGGGCTGGAGCCCCATGGGCGGTGAGGCGGGAGCAGCCCCCCACCCACCACCTTTCTCACCCGGAGCGCACGGCTGCGAGTGCGGCAGATGGAATGCCTTTTCGCTGAGACTCTTCTCACCCATGGAGCCTGGACACGTCTCCCCTTCCCGGGCTCCCCAGGGAGCTGGAAGGTGTTCCCGCCGGGCGGAGTTTCTCTCGCACTCGTTGTGGCTTGGTCTCTTCCCAAAGATGTTTTCCTGAGAGCTACAGAAATCCAAGTGCTCCCCAAACCCTCGCTCGTACCGAGTGTCGCCCCCAAGGCTGTTGCTGGTGGTGTTTGTTTCCATCACTTCTGAATTCCACTGACTGTCCCACATGACTCCAGCGCTTGGATCCTTGGAAAGCTTCCCTCCAGGTCTTCCTGGTAGCCCCGAGTCACACGCTGTGCTCTCAAAGCAATCTGCCGGAGGGTCCCTCTTTGTGTTCTCATCGTGCACTGAAAGAGAGATTTCAGAGTCACTAAATTAGGGAATCCTCTTCAGAGCATCCCCCGAGCCTGCAGCCATGTTACCAGCGCTCCGCTGAAACAAAAATTCAAGGAAAATACAAGATCTTTTTGCAAGTCCATGTGAAAATTCACTAACACGGCGTTTTGCCTTCACCCCCCCACTCGGGTGTCTGAGGCGTGAGGTCTGTGTTCCCCGACTGCGCTGACACCATCACACCTTGGCGCTTGCCGCTCTCCGGACACCCCAGAGAGTTCCGGAGGAGCGAGGGTCTGCGCTGAGGCCCCACAGCCTCTCGGTGAGTCTGCGGCTGCACCCCGTGTATGAGAACCGCCGTCTCTGCCGCGGGCGACGCTCTCCTGCCGTGTGCGTACAGGTCGCTCGGAGCGCTGCCGAGTGGAGAGGAAGGCTCTCGCGCCGTCCCAGAGATTCCCAGACAGGCATACGGCTCAAGGCAGAGGCACGCCCAGACTCACAGCTCTGCCTCTCTCCTGGACGCCTCTCCTGCTTTCCTTGGAAAACATTTACAACTCCTAATAATCCAACCCAAAAAAGCACCTAGCACCTGGCTTTGGTAAACCTTGAGATCCGTCGCCGGACAAAACTGTCCTACTGACCTGCCAATTCCCTGTTTCCTACTGCCTCCTGTGACAAATATCCCGTGTTTCGTGTTCCAGATAACGTCCACCAATGCTCTTCAGCCCGGCTTTCTACCGCGCCGGGATTTTTCTGCCCCTCCGCCCCTTCCGCCATCGGAGAATTGCTACAGCAAGACTCCCCTGAGCATCCCAAAGGACCCCAGGTCTCCCAGCAACGTAATTCCAAACTTCCCTGCAGCCCATAAACATCCCGAGCTCCTGTGTCTCGGGCTGTGGTGGGACGTCAGCGCACAAACGTGTTACCGCAGGCCAAGCTAAAGCGCGAACGTAAAAGCCACCGGCTGCTCTGCACTCACTGCCTCGGCGTGTCCTCTCACCCCAGTAACCCTCAGCACGGACTGGAAGGTCTGGAAGAGTGAGCTGGGAAGCCCACCCGCTGCACTCCCTCAGAGGAGTTGGAAGAGGTCTCCCATGGGAAGGGGTCACCTTCTCCAAACAAATCCCCCCATGTTCAGCGCGTCCTAAAATGACATTAAGCCTCCCCCTCCTTCGCTGCAGGATAACAATCCTGCTGGGGAGCGCAAAGTCAGCGCTCCGTGCTCATCGCTACCGGGTTCAGACGCTACCGAGCCAGCTGGAAGCACACGTTTGATCCGTACGGCCTGAGCATGATGCTGGGTTTGCCTGAACAGAGCCCCGAGACAGCGCCTGCGACAGTTTGAGGTCAGCTGAAAGGGGAAGGAGACTCTTCTGCTGACAGAACCAGAACGTTTTGTGCAGAAATATTGACTAGCAGGCTGAGGTTTGTTCCAGTTCTTTCACGGCTTACGTTATAGCATCGTGACATTTAATACAGCATTAAAAAAATGCCTTAAATTAGATTTACTGCCCCAGAAATCTCAGCTGAAATCACTGACCTGTGCTTGGACCTGGAGAGATTTCTTCTCTCTCCGAGGCTTGTTCAGGGCAGCGTGGCTCCTCCTCCTCTTTGATCCACGATAAAACATCAGGCGTGTACGTCTGAAATCCTGTTTGTTGGGGAGAAGTCACACAGGTGAGAAACAACTGGAGAAAGACGTAAAGCATGGAAGATTTGGGAATTCACAGATAAGCAGGGTTTGGGTGGGAAGGGACCTCAAAGCCCACCCAGTCCCACCCCCTGCCATGGGCAGGGACACCTTCCATAGCCCAGGTTGCTCCAAGCCTCATCCAGCCTGGCCTTGGACACTCCCAGGGATGGGGCATCCACAGCTTCTCTGGGAGCCTGTCCCAGTGCTCCCACCCTCTGCGGGCAGAATTCCTTCCTGATGTCCCATCTCCATCTCCCTCTTTCCGTTTAAACCCGTCACCCCTTGTCCTGTCACTCCCGGCCCTTGGGAAAAGCCCCCCCCAGCTTCCTTGTAGCCCTCCAGGCACTGGAAGGGGCTCTGAGGTCTCCCCGGAGCTTCCCTTCTCCAGGCTGAACCCCCCAACTCCCCCCGCCTGTCCCCATGGCAGAGGGGCTCCAGCCCTCGGAGCATCTCCGTGGCCTCCTCTGGACCCTCTCCAGCTGATGAAAACCGGCCCCCTTTGTCCTAGACATTTAACCAGCTTACAGCTATTGACTTGAGGGAAGCCAAGGATGGAATTTAAGGGACAATGAAACGTTTCCTATCCCACGCTGCACAGCTGGGATGAAAACCCGCCACAAACTGAGAAGGGAAAGGTGAAACACCAGCCCTTACTCATCGGGACTGGCGGCAAGTTGTTCAAAACTGGTAAGCTTTTTATCAAAGATGTGGAATATGAGAAGAGGGAGAGAAAAAGAAACCCCAGCCCTTGGACTTTAAGCCCTCTGGTTCATTTTCCCTCGAGGTATGTAGTTAACTCACCTGGGCTGGGCTCTTCAGGAGCTCCTCTAGCTTCCTCCTGCTGACCTGCAGCACACAACTCCTCCTCTTGCTTAACACAGATGACGCTGTCCTCTGGTAACACGAACCAACGTTACTTTAATTGCACGCACAAAACTAATTCCGACGCTCACCCCACCGCAGATGCAGCAGCTCTGTCCTACAGAAAACCTCACCTCACCCAAGTTCTCGCTGACCAAAATCTCTTCGACAGACCTAAAACGCTCGTCACGAATCTCTCAGCCGACGCTTGAGCCTCAGAAAGGGACAAAACTTCCACGCACGCCTAAGGTCCGCGGTGGCGTGGCGCCCGTTCGCAAAGGAAAACGCGTTGCGAGTGGTGCCGGGAGAGGACCGTGCTGCTGGGAATCTCATTCTCCAGCCTCGTTTCTCTTTCGGCTCTGCCAGCGTGACGCCCTGCCCCTTCTCAGGCGCCTTCCGCGCAACGCACGCGTCAGCCCGGCGGAAACACACCAGCGAGTTGTGAACAAAGCTTATCGAAACCAGGCGGGCTAACGCCCCATGCATCCCACTTGTACCTCCGCAGCAGACGGAATGAATCGGAGGAACGCTTCACACAGGTGTGAAACCAGCTATGCTCTCTGCACACGGAATGGAAAGCCCTTCCGACTGGAAAACCGAACATCACCCCACTTGGAGCGGCAATGCCGACACGGCCTAACGGGAAGGGGACGGCAGGTGTGACGCGGCCTCACGGGAAGGGGACGGCAGGTGTCACGCGGCCTCACGGGAAGGGGACGGCAGGTGTCACGCGGCC